CAAATGATTCAAGCAAATGCCAATTCCATTTTACTGACTCATACGCCATTGTTTATTAAAACCGTGTGCTGTGTCGTAATATTGCTAAATTATTGAAATGTGTGTTGATTATATAGTCAACAACTGCAAGTGCTCTACGTTGTTGTTATTACTTATTACAACAATATCGATAACATACTTGCATATTTACTACATACTATATGGCAAACGTCTATATATAGAGTAATGTTCTTTGTTTGTCGGTGTTATGATAATTATAGCTAGTGACTTGAATAATTATTTTTCTAAATGCATACTGTTTTTATTTTAGAGAAGAGATGACGATGTACTTATTGCTCTGCTAAAGCCCATTTCCGAAATCAGCAAAATATTAAAAGAGGACATAAATCAAGCAAACTCGTTGGCACCTGTGGAGTCGAAGCCAGTGGAGAAAAAAAAATCACCTTCATCCAGTAAAACGAAACGAGTAAAACCTGATGATAAAAAAGAGCCAAACGAAATATCAACTAATCATTTGACGATCGATGACCAACCAAATGTCATATCATCAGAAGTTACAAATGGCAATGCACTCGTCGTAGAAATTGGAATCAACGACGACCGTAAACCGAATTGTGACGAACTAATAGACGTCAAAGTGTTTGACGTCGAAAACATTGGGAAGGACGATGACGATCATAAAGCAAACTGTAACGAACAAGTCGACGATAAATTCGTTGAAGGAGAATTAGTTAATAATGTTATTGCAATTTCAGAAAATATGGAGAACCAATGTAATCAAGTAGAAGATAACATATCGGAAGGAGTTAACGGTTTAATTATTGATGACGAAACTGAGACGAAAGACATCGATGATGGTTCCGTTGATGCGATTGTTGAAAACAAAAGCGAAATCTACGATTTGGCAGCGGACGACAATAGCGGCGTAGAGGGGGTGGAAGTCGAAAATTTTCAAAGCGAAACGTACGTTGAGATTAATAAAACTCATACGAACGACGGTCAAGTAGACGTGACAGAAGAAAGTACAAACGACATCGTCAACGGTAGCGAAAATAATATCATCAATAAAGAAACAGAACATCACAATATGTGTTTTTAATGAAAACCACCTACAGAATTCGGAACATCCGACTGAGAAATGTCTACTTGGTACATTTCTTATAAAAAAAAATATTCCATAGATAGGTTTAAGGTGTAAGACGAAGTTAAAATATGTACTGTAAGAACAGTAGAATATATTATTGAAATGTATAAAAGTACTGCCAACCAATCTTTTGGTACATATTATTGTATAAATTAATGCATATATCATTGTGGTAATTATTTTAATGTCATTCAACGCAATGTTGGTTTATGATTTATGATAATATTATTATTTAGTTAGGGTAAATTTTAAAATCACAATAGAAATACTTACCTACATTTACATTTTACACTGCAGTAGATTAATAATAGTAATATAGTTCATTATTTTTATAAATAATATTTATTTTGTGAGGAAAAATAGATGTGAAGCTATAGTAGAGAGTACCTGTATGAGTAAACGTTTTAAAATCTAGATGCTACAGGTAAAGTTTCCAAATG